TCAGGAAAAATCAGAGGGGAAAAAAAAAAGAGATCAGCACCCATAACACACTGCATGCTACTCCTTCTGCAGCTATTCAGAGCCCGCACTTGGGAAAGACTTTATTTGTCAGCTCGTTTTACTTTTCCTTGATCGTCTACTTTCTTAATGGCTGCCTGGATAGCTTCTTGGTCACCCAGGAACTGGTGAGGCCCAACAGCATGCAGGTTCTCGTCCAGTTCCAGGAGAATGGGGACTCCAGTAGGAAGAGTAATGTTGATAATGTCTTCATCTGAGATACCTGAAAATGAAGAGAGGAAGGAACAAGGCATTAAAGACAATGCAGGAGGAAGCTCTGTTTAATTGTTTAAGTGCACATTCCTCCAAGACAGCCAACAACAATGTGCACTTAAATGTCTAGTCCCATATTAACTGCATGTTTGGAACCACAACAGATACTGTGAGGGATTCCAGTTATGGTTGCTGGAAACCAAGGACTTCCCATAAGTTTAAAAAAAAAAAAAAGCTAAGACAAAAATTCACATTACATCAAGTCTTTGGACAGTAAATACCTTTTGGGGGCAACCTGTTCTTGGGTGTCTTCTATCTAAATTTTAAAGGAGTGAAAATTATTCTCTCCATAACTACATTTGTAGAACTGGTTTTCCACAGAAATCAATCTTGAAAAATCTGAAAGTGAATTAGGAAGGTTTTCTGGTTTTTTCCTTTTATACATTGTCCCCACCTTGGCTAAAATTAACCTCTGGATGTGGTTCAAGTGATTAGAAAGTTGTTGGTCTTCCAGCACTGAGTGAGCATGCAATGCCCTGGGCTAGATCCAGTCAAGGAGGAACACTTCCTAGATGTGTAGGAAGCACAGTCAAGGGGAATTAGGAAAGGACTGATTGGCAGGACTTGGGAACAGGACTTGTTCTCTTGTCATACCTTAACATCCCACCTGCTAGGAGAAGAAGGTATGTGTAATGGACAAATCACCTTCAATTATTTTTTAAATAATCTGAATCATAGGTTGTTCAACTTTGACCAGAAGAGTTGGAGTTGTAGTAAGGGTAGTAGCAGCAGTGGTGGTAAGATGTTTATTATC